TCTGGGGTAACCTAGCCACCTTCCCTCTCTGGGGGTAACCTGGCCACCCTGCCTCTCTGGTGGTAACCTGGCCACCCTGTCTCTCTGGGGGGGCTAGGTATTGTGAAACTGTTTCGCTTATGTATATTACATGCGACAATTTCCTTTATGGCATCGTGATAACATTTGGATCAAAACTTTCGTCTTAGTTTTCTTACACGAGCTAAAAGTTATACCTTTACCTTTTAACACGTTATTTTTACAACAGGTATACGAGATCTTGTGCCGCTACATTTACTTTGGATGGGAAAGACATAAAAAAATGAATTTGATGATGCGAATATCCTTTTTCTTTGTTAATTATGTTTTATTTATGATTTTACCTAATGTATCAAATTTATAATCATATTCCATATTTTATTTTTTATTTAGGTGTAGGTTTAGTAAAGTTCTTTGTGCCATGATTCAGTGACTTGGGGCTGTTATAATGTTAATATTTATTAATTTGTGGTATTATTATGTACTAACTGATAGATGAATGTTGCTCGGGGAGGGAATGGGTGAGAAGGGGGGAGAATTTTCTTTATTTTCTCATGTATATAATTAAATTTCAATACCTCAATGAATTTGTATATAAGATTGAAACTTCCATAATATTGCTGCGTCTTCTGGACTACTTGAACTTAGGAGACCAGAATATCATCGTAGTATAAATTGTTTGTATAATATTGCTAACACACTCAAAAATATACACAGAGTATTAATGTAATTGTGGACGGGAGTTGCCAGGTTCACGTCAACAAGCAGTGAGGTATTTCTTTATTTTAGTTGATTATTAAATGTATTTGACTTGGTTTAAGTAACTTCATTATAGTAACAGACTGACCGTGTGTGTGTACATTATTATAGTAACAGACTGACCGGGTGTGTGTACATTATTATAGTAACAGACTGACCGTGTGTGTGTACATTATAGTAACAGACTGACCGGGTGTGTGTACATTATAATATTTCAGACTGACCGGGTGTGTGTACATTATAATGTAACTCAGACTGACCGGGTGTGTGTACATTACAGTAACAGACTGACCGGGTGTGTGTACATTATTATAGTAACAGACTGACCGGGTGTGTGTACATTATCAGAACTGACCGGGTGTGTGTACATTATATTAACAAGACTGACCGTGTGGCTGTGTGCATTACAGTAACAGACTGACCGGGTGTGTGTACATTATAATGGCACAGACTGACCGGGTGTGTGTACGATACAATGTAACAGACGTGACCAGATTGTGTAACACATTGATATAATGTGAACTGACGATAAATATTATGTGTGCATTATTATAATGAACTGACCGTATTATTGTGGCATTATAGTAACAGACTGACCGGGTGTGTACATTATAGTAACAGATTGACCGGGTGTGTGGCACATTATAGTAACAGACTGACCGGGTGTGTATGCATTACAGTAACAGACTGACCGGGTGTGTGTGTGCATTATAATGCTCAGACTATTGGTGTGTGTACATTATAGTAACAGACTGACCGGGTGTGTGTACATTATAGTAACGAATGACGGGTGGCGTTATATTAACAGACTGACCGTGTGTGTGTACATTGTTAACAGACTGATGACCGGGTGTGTGGCGCATTATAGTAACAGACTGACCGGGTGTGTGTGCATTATAGTAACAGACTGACCGGGTGTATGTACATTACGGTAACCAGACTGACCGGGTGTGTGTACATTATTATAGTAACAGACTGACCGGGTGTGTGCTTGCATTATAGTAACAGACTGACCAGGTGTGTGTACATTATTGTAACAGACTGACTGGGGTGTGTGTACATTATAGTAACAGACTGACCGGGTGTGTGTACATTATAGTAACAGACTGACCGTGTGTGTGTACATTATAGTAACAGACTGACCGGGTGTGTGTACATTATAGTAACGGACTGATCGGGTGTGTGTACATTATAGTAACAGACTGACCGGGTGTGTGTACATTACAGTAACAGACTGACCGGGTGTGTGTACATTATAGTAACAGACTGACCGGGTGTGTGTACATTATAGTAACAGACTGACCGGGTGTGTGTACATTACAGTAACAGACTGACCGGGTGTGTGTACATTATAGTAACAGACTGACCGGGTGTGTGTACATTATAGTAACAGACTGACCGGGTGTGTACATTATTATAGTAACAGACTGACCCGTGTGTATTGTGTACATTATTATAGTAACAGACTGACCGGGTGTGTGTACATTATAGTAACAGACTGACCGGGTGTGTGTACATTATAGTAACAGACTGACCGGGTGTGTGTACATTATAGTAACAGACTGACCGGGTGTGTGTAGTTACTTACCGCATTGTAGGGGCTGGAGTGAGGGTGTGTCTCCTTGTACAGCTCACAGTGGTAACAGGGCGCTCGCTGACTCACCACGCCCTCCGCCCACGCCACCACGCACCACACCACCACCACGCACGCCACGCCACCCATCTGTAACACATAATACATTAATTTAAATATCTGTAACTCGAAAGTTTAATAATTTTAAATAATAAACTGTGCTCTGGATGATAAGAATTCTGATTAAAATGTCCATATAAATTAGTATCGATGAAAAGTGCCGAAACATATACATTATAGTCTGGCCATCCAGGTGTTGTATGTCTAATTACTATATTAACCCCATCACACACCTGTTCACACCTGTTTATTAATTAAGAGAATTTTTGGTTGTGTTTATTTTGCCCATCAACCGCCTTTACTGACCTGACTAATGGATATAAATTTAAATTGTGATTTAATCCAGTCAGTAACTCTCTCTTGTTCTCTCTTGTTTCGACTCTGTTTTTTTGTCTTCTAATTTTGTTCTTTGTTGCAACAGTTCCTGGTTGTCTGGGAATATGAGCCGCTGTGAGATGTTACAACCTGCCTCCGTCATCATGTCTTGAGTGAGTGTGACTTTTGATTTGATTTCATTGGGTAAAAATTCATACATATATTCTTGCTGATAATCACAAAGGAAAACATAAAACACAATTTATTCTTTTTCTCTGTGGTAAAAAGGTAAAAGAAAACACAATAGGCTTAAAAGTTTAGAAGTTACTATAGGTACACTCTAAAAAAAAAGTATCTATATGGAAGGCTCCGATGAATTTCAAAATGAACACTTCGATTCCTGTTGTCTCAGTAGGGTTGTCAAAATCCTTCGTCCGTTGTGTCATATTATCTAACACATAATCGAGTACCAGCATTATTATCCTGACTAGTAATGCAATAGTCCAGGTAACACTGTAGTCATGTTGAGTAGTACTGTAACCTTGGTGAGTGACTTGACCTGTAGTAAGAAAGGTATAGGGCAATGTAAATAACTAACAGTGAACTCAGGGAGGTAGTGAGGCGAGTGTTGGGGAGGGGGAGGAATAAACTATATCTTTTTGTGTGTTTGTTGATGATTCGTGTATTTACTAACCTAGGAGACGAATTTAAAGATCTTAGTCATTGAAGCGGGTTAATACATCATAACAACGAGCCCTCAGTATCGATTGACAGTGGGTGAGAGGGTGAGGGAGAGAGGGATTTATCTGGCATATGAAAACCTACACCAGGAGGATTATTCGAGGATTCACAGAACGATTTGGGGGCATGACTGACCTTCCTGACGGTGGCTTTATAAAGGGGCTGTGGGCAATGGCCGACCAAACTTTTTTTTTTTTATCTTTCTGTTTGTTTTGTTTTTCTATATATGTGTTTGTCGTGTATCTTGTATTGTAGGGGAAGAGAGGTGTTGAGGGGAGGGGAAGGGTGCATGGAAAGGGGAGGAGACAGGCTGAGGGGGCGGGAGAGGAGGGTTAAGGGAAGGAGCAGGGGTAAGATTAAAGGGAAGGGGAGGGAACAAGGGAAGGGGAGGGAGAGGAGAAGGAAGAGACAGCCACTAACAGGGAAGGGTGACAGGCAGGACAGGACAGGTGAGGTGGTGAACGTAGTCTAGTGACAGAAGTCATCGCTGGTCGGTCGCGGGAGATGACCCGTCACAACACTTCATACCTCCTCCTTATCTGAGGTGAAGTGGGGTGAGGAGGGGGGCAAGGGAGAGAGAAGAAGGAATAGAAGGGCGAGAGAGAGAAAGAGGAGGAGTTGAAAGAGGGAGAAGGGGATAAATTTGGATAAAGTAGAAAGCTGATCCTCTCTCTCTCTCTCTCTCTCTCTCTCTCTCTCTCTCTCTCTCTCTCTCTCTCTCTCTCTCTCTCTCCTCTCTCTCTCTCTCTCTCTCTCTCTCTCTCTCTCTCTCTCTCTCTCTCTCTCTCTCTCTCTCTCTCTCTCTCTCTCTCTCTCTCTCTCTCTCTCTGGAAAATAAGACAAATAGCCTCTTATAAAGTGTTGGCTGGCGTCCTACACTAAGGCCTTCACCTACCTAAGTACAGTACCTCATCTAAAAGCCGTCGTGTTCCGCAGAGCCGTTCAAGTGGCATTCCGAAAGGCTAAACTTAGACCCGCTTGACTTTGATGCTTATGAAACACATGGTGAGCGGCGGGTCGGTCTTTTTTTGTGATGTTTGAGAGTAAACGTGTACTTACGTTGAAAGCTTTTACCGGGAGACCTGTTGGAGACTTCACTGCCTGACGTATTTTATTTTATTTTTATTTATTTTTTTTTTACTTTCCTTGGTGGGTACTGAACACCAGATGATGTTTAGGTGAAAGGTATGAAAGGGGTGATTTTCTCTCTCCCTCCTGCTGCTGCTCACCTGTCCTCTCTCCTTTCCTCCTGTTCCTCACCTGTCCTTCCTCTGTTCCTCCTGCTGCTCACCTGTCCTCTCTCCTTTCCTCCCTCATGTTTCTAACCTGTCCTTCCTTTTTCCTCCTGTTCCTAACCTAACCTAACCTAACATACGCTGTTAAAAGAGTTATTGATACATTATAACAACAACAACAACATTCATCTATTCCTTCTGCTTCTCTTCCTCCACTCTCTCTCTCTCTCTCTCTCTCTCTCTCTCTCTCTCTCTCTCTCTCTCTCTCTCTCTCTCTCTCTCTCTCTCTTGCTCATCTCTTTTGATTCTTATTTCCTGTCTCTTCACCCTATGTCATTTTAACCTTTATCTAGACCACTGTATTTTTTGCTTACTTCATTTTCGGATCTTTCTTCTTCTCTTCTTCCTCCTATTCTTCTTCCTCCTCCTCTTCTCTATCCTCCTTCTCTAATATCTTTCTCACTATGTTATTTCAATCTTCATCTGTACCTTCGTAATTTTTTTTTTGAGTTTTCTTCCACTTCCTCTTCCTCCTCCTTCTTCTCCAATTATTCCTTCTCATCTACCAACCCTACCATCTCTCCCTCCCTTCCTTGGTTTATCATTTCTATTTCATCATTCTCTTCTCTCTCTCTCTCTCTCTCTCTCCGTAAGCCCTCCACACTACCTCACTCACTGTTTATTGGACATCAAGGGTAAGGGAGTTGTGCTGAGGCGAGAGACTGATGATGGGGAACCCTGGGGTGATGGGGTGACGGGTTGGTGTGGTGATGGGTTGACGGGTTGGTGTGGTGATGGGGTGATGGGTTAGTGTGGTGATGGGGTGATGTTGGATTGATGGCGTGATAGGGGTACTGGGTTGAAGGGGTGATGGAGTGATGGGGTGCTTGGATACTGGGATAAGAGGGTGCTAAAATGATGGGGTGATAATTGGGTGATGATGGGGTGACGGGAATACCAAGATAACAAAACCTCACAAAACCCACACCAACATTATGACCAAGCAACAGGATCTTGGCTGGAGTATGTGTCGCCTCCTCCAGGATGATGATCTCTGACGGCAGGCGATGAAGAAGCTGACCATGGGAAGAGGGAAAGGAGTAATGTTATAGATTTGTCTTTTGGAAGTGATTGAATGTTATATACAGTTCGTCTTGGGTTTTTTTTTTTTTTGGGTGCGTTATTTATAGGTAGATGATGTAGTTAGTTAAGAGTTATATTAATAGTTAGGAGTTGATATGATTTTTTTTTTTGTTTCTTGTCTTCGTTTGGGAGTAATGATGTAATTTATCTATTTATCTCTATTTTTTCTTTTAATGATTGGTGATTTAGTGTACTATATATACTATCCTAGACTACAGACTTAATAACCTTAGTTGTCAGAGGACATTTATACGTTATAACAACAAGATGTTTATAATTTGTCTGTGAAGCTGAAGATCACTATACCGTTGCCTGCTTTGAACTCCTTAACTTAAAATAAAATGCAAAAAACGTTAGGGCTTTTTGGGAGTGATATATTAACCCTGAACCCTTGAAGCGACCCCCGAAAAGTAAAAGACCCCTAAAGCGTATAAAAAAGACCCCCCCCCCCTTAAGCGTACACAGCGTGGGCAGGAAACTCTTGTTAGCGGACCGGGGATAATAATTAATTGGCGAAGTGAGAAAACTGCCGCTGAAGTTTTACGTTGTGGCTTAATAATGAAGCTTGTGAGAGCGGCGATACTTACCTAGCTGGCTGGCTGCTACTGGTGGAGTGACCAAAGAATTTTAATAGTAAATGTTCCTAAATATCCCTAAAAATTCCGGAAAAAAGCTTATGATTCCCTTCAAAATTTTCCCCGAATCCCTAAATGTAGGGAATGGAAATAAATCCCTAACTATCCCTAGAAATTTAAAATATATATATAAAAATGTAAAAGTCGCTAAATATACTAAATTGATAAAGTCCCTAGATACATGAAGTGGGAAATCGCTTCTGTTTATTCTTGTCACAGTGTCTTAGAGAGAGAGAGAGAGAGAGAGAGAGAGAGAGAGAGAGAGAGAGAGAGAGATTATCTGTCTTGTCTCTGCAGGTCTAGTAGTGTTAATTCCTATATTTGATTGATGAATGTAAGTCACACACACACACACACACACACACACAAACACACACACACACACACACACACACACACACACACACACACACACATGCTATCATCCCATCACCTCCTGGACGATGATGGATGAGACGCCTTAATGAAACATAACAATACGTAATTACTCCTCCCATGCCGCCTGCCACCACCACCACTGATGTCATTACTGCTAACCACCACTGTTTCCACCACTGTAACCACTATCACCAATACCACCACCACTGATGTCATTACTGCTAACCACCACTGTTTCCACCACTGTAACCACTATCACCAATACCACCACCACTGCTATCACTACCATTGCCTTACCATTACCACCACTGACACCACTGCCTCACCAACACCACTACCACCACTACCACTAAACACCACTATCAATGTCATCATCATCATCATCATCATCATCATCATCATCATCATCATCATCATCATCATCATTAATCATAAGGACTGACAATTATAACGACTTGATAAAACCTGATGAATTCCTCTCTGTGTAATGCGTCCTTATGATACACCCCTCTACCCTCTCACCCCCCATCCCTCATTCCTCCCCCATTCCTTCTACGTGTACTGAGCGTAGGTCAAGGGGGGG